TTGAAAGTAACCTACTCATAAATTCAGGGCTTTTAAGTTACCTCTATAACCAATTGATTTAATGGAATAGCTTAGCTTTATTACATATATACATATATATAATCACATTAACTTCCTAGGCATACAAATTTAATTTTTTAAGCTCATCGAGAAGAATCTATTATGGTTTGAGTGTCGTTGAAGGTCTTAAAATTTTATCCTTAGAATTCAATTCCCAAGCAACTGACCTAGACTAAATTTATCTATTCCACTATTCCATTTGTGAAGATTATAATCATCATTGAACATCCTCAATAAAAGCATAAATCAATCAGCTTTGCAACGTCATATTCAAGATGTTTCAAATATGAGGATCTTCATCCTAGCTTTCTTCATTTTATCATAATCAAACATGCTATGATCGGTCGAGTTACATTGGGGATTTTCATGGTTGATTAATTCTTAGAGGCAAAATAGCTTGCTTGGTGGGTTTGAAGCCTCCTAGGTGTAATGATCGATTGTGGATCCAAATGTGGCACTACACCCTCAAAGGTCTCCAAATATGAGGAAACACTTTCTTTGCCTTTTTTTCGATTTAGACTAGCCAATTTCTCAATAATCTGGTCTACCATGTTGGCTTGGTTTTGCAAAATATAGTTTGTAGCAGTCTTTTATGATTTCTCTAATTTGGATTTCCTATCTATTTTTATTTTATACATACTCTCTTTTATTTATTTCTTTAATTGCTTAAATTTTTCTTCCATCTTTAGTAACTTATTGCGTGGTCAGGACAAATGCCATGGAATTTTCCATGAATTAAATCCACAATTTCATGAATGGTGCATATGAAAAATGTTTAAATAAATACCATGCAGATGCAAAATTCAAAGATGCTAATGCTAATGCGAATGCAATGCAAAAGGTATCGATTCCAAATATGAATATCATAGAACAAGTTTCATTAGAGATAACAGTCTTCACTATTCAAGATAATCCATTTTCACATACATGTTTTAGCTTGTACGCTTGGTCCAAAGTAAGTCGATGTTTTTTCTCGGAGCTTCATCCTCGAAAACTATGACTCTCAAGTGTTTTACGACCACCCAAACTTGTGTAGAAGCTCTATTCAAAATATGAATCATCTCAGATGATGCCCTGTTGTGTTGGAGTTGTGTATTAGGTCTTGATGATTAAAGGTGTAACATTTTTAGGCAAGATTCTGTAGTTGAATCGTTGTTCGGATCAAGTGGTCACCTCTCAAATCTTGGATGTTGTTCTATCGATCAACTTGATGTCTGATCTTCAAGCGAAGTTCCTCTTTGTTTCTTTTAAGCTTTGATTAGCCAACAATGTATGTCTGTGTATGCGACTACTTGATTGATAAACTTTTTCTCTATTTATGAAAATTTTCTAATTAGATAGTCATCTACATATCAACACCTTCATGTTATGCTATGGTGATGATGCAATGCAAAAAGGTTAAAAATGACCCCAAAAAATAAGAAAATTGAATTAATACATGTAAAATAATCGATAAATATAAAAAAGTTATTCAAAGACGAATATAACATATACCCCGTTATGATATCTACCCAAATATACTTTTGTTAAAATAACAATCCTACCCAGACATGCTTTCTACCCGACATGATTTATTTAACAAAATAATCCTAACTACATGGTATCTAGTTCATATGCTCTCATTTGGAAAGAAATTTATTCTATGTGCAAAGATTAAAGAAATTTATTCTATGTAGCAAAGAAATTTATTCACAAGCAACTACAGTAGTCATTAAAATGTGAAGAAATAAAATGAAGAGGCCAAACTAAAAAAATAGAAATAAATATGTACAAAAGGAAACAGGGGATGAAAATCGGCTTCTAAAATATATTAGGGGCTAAAAGTAAAAATAATAAAAATACAGGGACCACTATGTACATTATCACATAAAGCAAGGATTAGATCGCAACCAACAGAGATGATAAGGACTAACATGAGAATAAACCCTAATATCATATGCAACTAATAAAAACAAAATCTAAAATGAGCAGGGGTAAAAAGTAAATATAAATAAATTACAAGGTTTGAAATGTAAATAATCCACTTCATTTAGTGACTAAATTAAGAGAATTACACACTTAAGAGGACCTAGAATGTTATTTTCCCCTACTCACAAAACGCGCGGCTCCTAGGTACTTAAAATGGTGTCGTTTTGGGCTAGGTTTAAATACCCCTTCAATTTTTTTTTTGAGTTTTCACTTTTGTTTCAAAGAAAAAGATTGAGAGAATTTGCAAACTTTCTCAACTTCCAATCGCTGAGGAAAATGATCATCATTCACCGGTGACTATTCATGGCGGTTCACGGTGGCTGGAGTGAATAACAATTTTCCAAAATTTTTCCAGTTATTCTCTCTACCCAAATCTAAGGTTCCATTTACCCATGTCTCAACCCAAACATTTAGATCTAGACTTATATCTTACGAAAATTCTGAAATTCGATGTCCTTTCAACTTTTCGATGAGCTTTGAACCTGGTAAGATCTATTTTTTTGGTTTCGAATCTCTTCTTCTCTCGATTTTCCCTTATTTTTATTGTTCGAACTCTCCCTTTTTTCGAATTCTCTCCCTTTTTATGGTTACTTGTTGCATGTTATATTTTTGTGGGTTGATTTGGTAGCCTTTTTTATATTACGACTGAGAGTGATGATTACTCTATTTTTTATTGAATCCCCTTCCTTTTTTATTGCTTGCCGAGATGATGATGATGGGATAGTTGAAATAGCAGCGTTAGTGAATGTCTGAATTCAGTGGCAGAGGAGGCGACGATAGGACAAGGTTGATCTAGGTGGTGACAACAGGTCTAGGGTTCCAAAAACCCTAGTTATCTTCTCATCTGGACAGTTGGATCAAGCACAAATCCAACGGTTGGGAGTAAGGCGGCGGCTGGGGAATATGACAAAACCCTAGTTATGTTGATGGGTTGTCATGTGGGCATCTTTTTGTGTTGGGTCTACTTTTGTAATATTTGAACTCTGAGTTGTAACCTAAAAACAAAATAATAAAAAATAATATTATTATTAAAATAAAATAATAATAGTATCCCAAATTTTGTCTAATGACTAAAATGTAAGTTTTGAAAGTTTAGTAGCTAAAGTATAAACTTTGAAAAGTTTAGGGACCGAAATTATAATTTTTAAAAGTTATATATTTTAACCTGTAAATGTACAGTTTGGATTAAAACATAGATTTTAGTGGGAAATCAGATTTTGGTACGAGAATTGTGTTAAAAGCTATAAAGTAGTAAAGTTCGGTATTGAAATAGAATATTCGGATCGAATTAGAATTTTACGAAAATTTGAAGGATGTTATAAAATGGAAGGAAATATTATTTTAATATTTTAGATCAGAGAAATTTGGCTCAGAAATGTGCAATTTTTCAGATTTGACCGAAACTGTGGAATTTTGTGACTAAAATATAATTTTTGAAAATTGCGCATTGATTATGGCATATGGTTGTATATTAATGATGTATTGCACGATTTATTATTGTTGAAGTATATACTTAGCGTGTGATGATTTTCACGTGTAGGTAAACAACAGGAGTATAAGTAAGGAGTACTGAGCAACATCAAGCATCGAGGAGTATAATATAATATCAGTAAGACATCCTTTGATGTAATTATGACTTATTTAGTGGCATGTATTTATAAATGTTCTAGTTGCTTTATTAACTATTTTGGAAATTATTGTAATGGCTAAACTAAACTATTTTACTCTATTTCATCATGGATGATATTATTTAGTATTACTTTTATAAATGGACATATTTGATATTTAAATATTATAAAAAAATTTAAGTGATTTATAATTTTATATTTTCTATTATAAATATGAAGGAAAAATATTTCAAGCCAGTTTTGAATTGGGAAATGTTTTAAGTAAATCAGGTGACATCTATAACCTGTATTGGTAAAAGTATGCGGGTCGTATGTGTTACAGCAACAATTAAAACATGGAAAAAAATGAGTGTTTACACCTAATGTTACATTTTGATTCTAGTTTGATCATTCATCGTTAAAAATTTAACAGTGCTATTTTTGTGTCATCATGATGTAATGTTATGCAATATTGAAAAATAATTTAAAAATATCACGTTAACATCTTCGTCAAATTTTTTAATGATGGGTTATCAAAATAAAACTAAAACATAACCTTAGATATGATTTTGAAAAAAATTGAGTGACAAAAAACAGAAACTAAGTAATTAGTGGATGACCGAATAGGTAGGTTTCCCTAAAAATTAAGATAAAATAATAAAAGTTAGGGTAAATTTACACAAATTATCCTAACTATAGGCATTGTTTTGTTGAGTCATCGAATATTAAAAGTTACAAAACGATCCTCCAATTATAAGACATTATTTTGTTGAGTCCCCCGAATAAAAGTTACAAAATGATCGTCTAACTATTCATTTGTTTCAAACTAGTTCTTTTTTGTTTCAAATTAGTTCTTTTTTGTTTCAAATTTAACGACCGCTTGAGTTGAACATTAATTTTCTAACTGAGATATGATGAAATCATATTTTAATGATGTCTACTAGCACCATCGTTGCTTTCAAGCACTAGCTCGACATTATAATGTTTCAAGCATTGTCTTGACATCATAATGTAAACATAGAGTCGATCCATAAGATACAACTCAAACAATTATGTGATCAGATTTTATCATATTATATTCAACAAGTTAATAGATGATCACCATCTTTGTAACAAAAATGATGAGTTTGAAATATATGAATAGTTAAATAATCATTCTATAAATTTTAATAATCGAAAAATTTAACAAAATAATATGTTACAGTAAAAAAAAACTATTATTAATTTTTAATAATTAAATAATTTAATATCTTATAATCGGGACATTAATGTACTTACCTTATATTTATCATATTTTTAACCCACGTTTGTGAATATGTGATCATCTACTGACATAACCCCTCGCCCTGCCCTCTTTATTTGTGCTAAAATTGGGTTTCGCCTTCTGTTATCCGACCTCCCTCTTGCACAAAGTATCTTATAATCTTACGAATTGGAGCAAATCCCTAATTTCCCATTCTTCCCCAAACCCTACAACGAAAACCCAAATTCAGATTTTGCTGCTCTCTAATTCTTCTCAAATCAAAGACCCTTGTGTTTTGCATTTCCTCAACGTGCTACCTTCATATAGTTTTATTTTTAAAGTCAAATTGAGAAGATAATGGAAGGTATAGCACACCCAATACCCAGAACGGTAGAAGAGGTCTTCAATGACTTAAAGGGCAGACGCTCTGGCTTGATTAAGGCTCTCACCACTGGTTCCATTCCTTTATTTTTTTTTTTAAATTTGATTTTTTGAAATTACAAAGAAATTCAATTAATTTATCTGGGTTTTCTTATGGCAGATGTTGAGAAGTTCTTCCAACAGTGTGATCCTGGTAAGTTTACTTTTGCTCTACCCCCCGTATTTCATCATTTTGGTTGTTACAAAGGTGCGGCAGCGTTGACTACGCCTGTGTATTGGAACTGCTTATCATGTCTTCATTATGGTTACGTCCTTCATGGCTTCAGATATGCTTTTCAGTACTACTTGTCATGGCTTTAGATTTGCTTTCAATGAATGTACCTTAACTTGAACTAAGAGTGGAAATGTAATGTTCCATTCTCTTAATTTAGATGTGAAGATTACACTTTGACTTCAATATGCTCTGCTTTTCTATATTCTCCTTGATTACACATGATATCTGAGATGTGATTCTACCTTCTTAAATTTCAGTTCCAGGGAACAGTTTGGGTTCTGATTCTGTTTAATAAATCACAGCTGGAATGTGGTGCTGATAGCTATTTGATCAAATCAAATATTTATTTTTCTACCTGAATATGTTTATGTTTTACTAGAAAATTTTGAGGCTATCCTGATTCACTCTTTATGACATAAGACTTGATAATGTCTTTGATGTTTGTTATAAATTATCTCAGCTAGCTTATATCTTTAAAATTTCAGGGTATACATTTTTTTTTCCTGAATGTATTAAATTTATTTTCAGAGAAGGAGAACTTATGCCTATACGGACTTCCGAATGAGACATGGGAAGTTAACTTGCCTGTTGAGGAGGTGCCTCCTGAGCTTCCAGAGCCTGTGTTGGGCATAAACTTTGCTAGAGATGGAATGCAGGAAAAGGACTGGCTATCATTGGTTTCAGTTCACAGTGATTCATGGTTGCTTGCTGTTGCTTTCTATTTTGGTGCACGATTTGGGTTTGGCAAGAATGAGAGGTATGTTTGCTTTTTCTTTTACAAATATCGCTCATTGGGTCTCAGTTGACACAGCTTTCTTGCTGCAGTGTCATGGTTTATTTTTCATTTCATGCCAACTGCATTTTTCCCTCTGTCTACCATAATTAAATACTAGTTCTATGTTCTTCGGTTGACTATTGTTGGATCTTAGAATTCTAATTTAGAAAAAGTTCGCTTCAAATGAGTGTTAAAATTTAATTTGCAAGGTTACCATCTGATTGGTCAAACATTCAAAGCTCCAAGTGAATGGATGATGCAATGGTACATTAACAAAATTGTGGAAAGCCTGTTTGTTCTCATTTCTTTAATCTTTTTTTCTTTTTGTTTTGGAACTGGTAATAGATGGCTTTTGAGATATTCTGCTTTATTTTTAATTATATGGGGAAGTGACTGTCTATTTTGCTTTGTATAAATACATCTTGCTCAGTTTGAGAACACAGTTGGGGCCTTGTAAGGGAATTCTGGATGACAAAATGCTAAATGAGACGCTCTTCTCCCTTTTACTACTTGAATATTGTTTTGCAGTGTGGTCAAATTATGTGTCTTAGTGTCAGATAATAAAAAGCACCTCAGACCCTTTTGGGTGAGGCACATTTTGTCAGGCACACACTTAATGCATACAAGTACACATATTTTTACATTAGTTTTACCATAACTAGTAAGAGAACTCTCTACTTCATAATAGTTAATCATTCAATAACAAACATGGGATCATCAGGAAATCGTGTATTTCTGCCGAAAGAAAAAGTAAACCCTCTATGTTTTGTAGGATAAATTGGAGGACTCTTTACAGTTTATCAATCATATATCTTAACCTTATTTTCTATATATATACACAAACACAAGTGAAAGACTACAGACATGTACATATTGCTCTTTCACTCTGGTGGACACTTTCTTTTTCTCTTCACCCAGGGAAATATAAGGATTCGAACACCTAGAATGCATATTTTGCCCTTGACAACACTGCTATCATGCAATGCTAAATAAAGTCTATTGTAATGGTTACATGATATTGTTTTCCTATTAAAGAGAAATTATTTACTTGTATGTGTATGTTCAAATATAGCTAAGCTATTCTCAAACATAGCTCTGTGTTTGAAGTTAGCTCAATAAATGCACACACGAATATACATTGTTTAGGCTTGTCCATTAGGTTGGTGCTTGTGTTGTCAAGGCACACTTAGGCACAGTGAAAAATGAGGATTAGACTTCAGACATGCTCAGGCAGGGTGGGTTTAAAGGGGTGCTTACCTTTTGGCACTTTAGTGTGCCTAGGGCTTCAAAGCAAGGTTAGAAAAAGTGGCTTCATTGATACTATGCTGTTTTACTGATGCACGAATGAAGTCTATTTCTCTAAAATGAATTCAATATTTCTAATAAAAAAATATTCTTTATCAGTAATGCGAGTTTTATGAATCTGTTTATACTCATGTTAAAATTGAAATTGTTATTTTAAAAATAAAAATAAATTATGAAATTATTATTACTATCATAATTTTATGTTGTTTTAATTAAAAATACTTCAGTTAAGTTACATTTATTTTATTTCTTACTTACACCATAATTGTCAGTGTACATTTGACCTATATAGTTATTTATATGTATGCGCCTCTTCTTACTTGGGCAAATGCTTTTTTTTTGCGCCTTGTACCTCGAGTTTATATGGAGGTCTTAGCACCTTGAGTTTGCCTAGTGACCTTGACAACACCGGTTGGTTCTTGCTTTTTTATTTTTTTATTTTTGTAATAGAGAAGTGAAAGGCAAAAGAGTTAAAAATGAACTGAAAACAAGGGACAAATGAGAAGTGGAGAAAAGTAAACGACTAATCAAATTGAGCCTTAATGATTAATAGGACAGAAATTGCTTTAGGAGGGATATCTTGCACATGGATTTGTCTCAGAGATTTGGGATTTGAATTTTAAAGAAGTAAAACGAGTCCTTAATTCCATACTTGCGGTGGTCTGGTGGTGACAGTGAGGAAGTATAACCGAAAGATAGAACAGTAAGGGACAATACCAGTTCACTTGCTATCCCTTAAATGATATTTCCGTACTATCAACCAATAGCTCCTCGTTTTTCCTTATCCGGTGCAATCTTAGTTAGATACAGCTACTGGGGTTCCTGATTTTTTGTATTATTTTGCAGGAAAAGACTCTTCCAGATGATAAATGACCTTCCAACCATATTTGAAGTTGTCACAGGAAATGTCAAGCAACCGAAAGACCAATATGCCAATCACAATGGCAGCAGCAAAAGCAAATCAAGTGTTAAGGCGGTATTGATTGTTTTCTGTCTGTATTCCTTTTATATGCACCTCTCTTATTTAAATGTCACATTAATAACTTGCTGCCTGCAGTCTCGCCAATCCGAACCCCAGAGTAAGATAGTAAAGATGTCTCCGCCATCAAAGGACGAGGATGAGAGTGGGGAAGAAGACGAAAAGGATGATGAACAGGGTGCCTCCTGTGGTGCATGTGGGGATAGCTATGGCACCGATGAGTTCTGGATTTGCTGTGATATCTGCGAGAGATGGTTTCATGGAAAGTGCGTGAAGATTACGCCTGCAAAGGCCGAACATATCAAGCAGTATAAGTGCCCAAGTTGCACTAGCAAGAGGGCTAGAGTTTGAAAGTAGGTCCAAAACCGGAGTTATAACCAGTTGAGATGAAGCAGGTAAGGTTCATAGCTTTTGTTGTCACAGTTTGGAAGTAAAACAGAGTAGCCCTTTTAGTTGTTGACTGCAGATGGGATTTTAAGTTTTGCTACTCTTGGCATTTGCTATGTTTAATTTTATTGGAAATTGTGTTATAAACTGATGCTGGTGACTTGGAATATATATATATATATACATATATATGAGATAAGATCCACATATACAATGTAAAAACAATAAAAAAAAATACAAATTTGAGACCATTGGAGGAGTGTAGAATGATGGTTTAGATTATTTGTCTATTCACAAAAATCTCTTCATTTTTAAATTTTAATTGTGACCATCAATTTTCATTCATTCATTCATTCATTCATTCAATGGCTGTATGTTTTTTTACATTGTGTGATTAAATTTTACCTATACATGTGTGTGTGTGTTTGCAGTTTTGTAGTTTCATCTGTGTGCTTTATTTTGTAAAGTGAAGTAGTTGTGATGCATACCTTGCTTCGGCCGTTTCGATCATAAATGGGCACTAAGATAAGTAGTCGGTTGGAATAAACTCAATGTAAAGCAGTTGCTCAAGTATCCAATCCATAAGTAAGAAAAGGAGCTTTGCAACACTCTAAACATGATTCCAGATGATATGTGGCATGTTGCAATCTCTTAGAACGTGGCTCAAATTCTCCATTGGATAACCACACAGAGTTGGTAATTAATCTGTCACGCCAAAGTCCAAACCAACCAACCAAAAGTTGTTGTAAAAGTTTACGTCCGCCTCTCCACTGCTCACAAAGAAGCAAATGTAAGAGTGGTAAAAATCCCGTAATCTATCAACACTTGTTAACTCACTGGCTTTTGTTGAAGCACAAGTATTTCTATTTTCAGTTTTTTTCCCTTTTTGAACGGATTGTTATTTTCAGTCTTAATTTTTTATTGTTCCTCAAACACATTTTGATAGAATGAATCTTACATTAGAATAGTTATATCATATAAAATTTCTTTCTTATAAATTAAGAACGATGAGGTAGAATATAAAATAAGTTAATACTCATGAGTCATGAATTAAATTACGCTGTTAAATTAATAGTTATTATTTATAGAAGTTTTGGATTTAAACATCAACGTCGGTAGCAAAGGTGATTGGACGTTTATTGTCAAATAATTGAAAGTATATATAATAGTAATAGATACTACTTTATAATTACCTTGTTAAATAAAGTTGGAACATAAAGAAATACTTGTTTTTAAATAATTTTATTTTGGCACAGTGTAAACTTGCCACGCGAGCAATGGATTGAGATGCGGAGCTTGAATGGGCCTCGATCTATCTCAAGGATAAATCCTTCTTACATTTATCCTTAAATTAGTTAAAAACGCTTTTGTTTACTGCATTTGAGATGAAAGGAATAGAAGACAATTTCGGGTACAAACAGAGGCTGTCATGGGATTTTGCTTGCTATTGAAGAGATTGTAGATCTGCTACAGTGAACATTAAATCAGATAGAGCTGTTACAGATTATAGGACTAAAGAGGGCATACAGGAGAAACGAAGAATAAACAACAGAGTAATGAAAATCAAACAACATACGCATGGTTCTCCAAGAGACTCCAATAGCTATCACTTGGTTCTTCAAGGAAAGAACCTCTTTAAAAAAAAAGGTATAATAACATTTAGTCAAGCAGTTCATACCAACAATGGCGAAGTGCTATGCTTCTGTTGTCTTCAACCCAGCTGCAGTCCAATTCCCAGAAAACTTAATCCCTGAGAAAAGTGGGTTCATTTTGGGAGGAAACAAACAGAAAAAGAGTTCAAGTTTAGCAGCAGAAAAAATAAATAAAAAGATGATAGTCCAGTTGAGGTCGGCTCAGTGAGAGACGTTGGATCTTAGTGGATCAAGCTTGTTATCCTCCCACTGCCAAGAGAAGAAGGTCTTCGCTGCTCTGTGAAACCAGCCTCACGCAGTGCCCTTCGCTCTAGGAGCCACGACACCCACAGTTTTCACTGAGGTCCCATGACTCAACTCTTGGCTTGGAACGGGCAAGCTATGGCAAAGCCACGTGGGATCCGACTCAAGGAGCCAAACCCATGTTCCATAATCCTAGTGCCCCCACTCGGGTCACAAGCTCCCGTTACAAAGCTCGGCAATAGATTCAGTGGGTAGCAACATATATAAATGCCTAATACCTGCTCTTACTTATCCATGTGGGATTCTTTCTTTGAGATGCTTTTTCTATTTTATATAAATAAGTTAACTGATTACCAGCAAAAAAAAAAAAGGAAAAAAAAGACTTGAGTTGAGAACTTGATCAAAAATAATAATAAAAATATTCTTTTATATATTATTAATTAAATTTTGATAAAAAAATTATTTTAGCATGATCTACTATTAAATTTTATTTTGAATTAATATTATTAATTTGACAAATTAATATTTTATTTAATTATTTTTAATTTGGATGAAATGTGAAAATTTAATGTCATATTATATTAGATAAAATTTTCAATTAAAACTTTGAATTAAACGAAAGTCATTAAATCCTATTTAAATTCGAGAATCAAGTTTTATTGAAATCATGTTAAATTCAACTTTAAATCGGAAAAAAATAACTATTCGATGTCATCGTGGTAAATCCATCTCCGGCATCTCTATTTCTTAACGGATACAATGAAAAATTCACTTTTTGTTGGATGATTGGGAATAATAATAATAATAATAATTGTGAGAAAACTGGTTAAGTTTCAAAGGTTAAAGGCCCTCAAGAGGGGGATATATTGGTGTCACTGTGACTTTGCATTGTCTCTAATGTTCAAAATTTCACAATGTTGCACACCACTTCTCTAGTAGGATGACGAAAACCTATGGAGATAAAAGAGCTAAATATGAAAGGAAAGAGAAAAATAGTTCATATCGAATAAGCTTTCGAACTAATAAGTCGACCTTCCAACGATTTCCGGCCAACTTTCCTTTCATCTTCAACTGGATCACGAAAAGACTTACATGTACATGCATCACCTGTGGCTCGAATCGTCACCATAGTTGTAGGTTTGAAAGAAAACTGAGGTATATGATGACATAATCTACTTTACAAACGAATTAAATGTTTGGGGACTGTATTGCAAGTTTTAAAAGTTGGGGGACCTAAATGCAAGCTTCAGAAATGTTCAGTGACCATTACTATACTTTACCCTATTTTTAAACAATTAATTTTAAAAGTCAATAAATTTTTCAAAAATATATGAAATTTAGAATTTTTTAAATTATAAAATATTTTTTTTATCATCATCAACATCATTTTGTAAAAGAAATACTAGTTATAAAACTTTTATAAAAAATTAGTCATATTTTAAATTATTTACACTCAAAGTTTTCATATACTAGTTTATACGTATTGTGTAATTTCATGCAAAAATAAAAAATTGTCATGTTATAAAATAATTTACAAAAAAATATTTAAATATTTTAATACAATTTTTTTTACACACACAACAAATAAATAAAAAATTGACATTTTTATATAAAATTCATCTTAACATAAATTAATTATATATTTTGATATTATTTTAAAAAAAATTACGAAACTAACACTTAATTTTTACATGTTATCCGCAACTTTCATGCGTGCCGCATAAGATCAGGAAATAAATATATAAGGGTCTCTTACTGGAAAATAAAGTTGAATAGGGTGATTAATTGGGAAGTTCGCCCCCAAACTTCAGTCCCAATTCGCGAATAGCCAAATTTTAAATTAAAATCCTGAAAGAGTAGAGGAAATCATCAAAATCTCCGAGAGCAGAATTGGGAATTTTAGGGAAAAAGAAACCCTACAATGCAAGGAACAGATGAACTAAGCATAGATGAGCTGGCTTCAAATCTCTCTACGTATAAGGAACAGCTTCATCAGGTTTCAATTTTTTTTTCTTTGAATTTTCGATTTAATACTCGCAATTTGCTTTAATCCGCAACAAAAATGTTCTTCCGAATTAAACATATTACGACCCATGCTTTTGTTTGGACTAGATTCTTGTTTTGCGAATGAATAATTTGCGTTTAGGGTTTTGTTTTTATTACTACTATGTTAAAAGAGGCATTTCGTGATTAACCTTGCTTGCTGAAAAATTGGAAGAATTTCATGTGTTGTTGTTAATTTTATTCAACGGGACTTGCAAGGCCCGACTAATTAGCTTATTTTGGTAAAAATCAGGTTAGACATCTTCTGGCAGATGAACCTGGAAACGTTGAATATGTGGACATGGAAAAGGAACTCGCTGAGGTGATTCTATATTATGACCATTTTCTTTTTATTGTAGTTTTATCTTCTTTTCTTGTTTATTCATTACCATGTTTTGTCTTGTTATGGTTACAATATGATTATTCTTTCGAGTGAATCCAAGACTTACCAGCATAAAAAAGTGGTCTAAATACCAGTTTTAGATTGTGGGTGTTTTTTTAGACGTTAAGTATTTTGATAAGGTGATGAAAATATTATTTCTCTTCCTTCCCTCGTTTGAAGGAATCGACATGTTGCTCAAAGAAGCAACATCAATTAACTGCTAATGGTAATGGCACTGCTGGAGGTTTTTTTTCATTTCAGGGTTGAAAAGGTGAGGGTGGTTCATATATTAAAAGGGTTCACTGCGGCAGAATGTGAACTTTAGTGAGAAAAAGAAATTTCTGAAATGTATAGCTTTGGCAAGATGCCCATCACTTTGATATTGATTGCTTTGCAGGTGTGCTATGTGTTGTGATGGCCAGCCTGCTTCTCATTCACCTGATTTGCGATGTTCATCTTGAGATTCTAAGTTTGAGATATGATAAAATTCACCCTTTATTGTTTTACTAAATATATATGCTTGTGCTGAAACTTTGGCATGCAGGTGATTTCCCTGACAGAGGAACTGCTTGCAACTGCGAAGCAAAATGAGATTTCTGGATCAGATATTGGGTCTCAAACGAAGGTGATTAAATTGCGTAATGAATCATTGATTTACTTTTGTAGTTAGTTTTGTTTGTCAGAAGCAATGCTTTATTCACCAAGGCAAGCCTCTGAATTGAAATGGGAACTTTATTTGCTCTTTTACAATTTTCGTAAGTGTATACGTGTGGGATGTCACAGATTACTACCGAATTCTGTCACATAACCAGTGATGTCATATGAATGTATTTAATGCAATAAGTTCTTGGATGTCATATCATAACTGTGGAAACATAAGATTGTGTAGATGGGACAACTAATTGAAGCATATTTTTTTTAACTGGAATTGAACTTCCTAATCTCTAACCATTTCCTTGGTTTTAGTTCATTACTTACGTGCACTGGAAAATTCATTTTGGTATAGCAGGGAACCTGAATCACTCTTCAATTGTATATTCTTGCTGGTGCATGAGTTCTCTCTTTATTCATTTAATCACTGACATCTGATAAATGCTTTTCTTTTTTGTAGGGAACAGTGGAAACATATGATTTTGAAGATAAATTTCCTGTTGGCACGAAAGTTCAGGCTGTCTGGAGTGAAGATGGAGAGTGGTATGCTTAGAAACAAGGATATATATATTTATATTTTTTTTATTTTAGTCAGTAGTTTCTTCCCCTCCCATAACTTTTACCTAATTTTCTCTGTTGGAATTGTTTTATATTTAGGTATGATGCCACTATTGAGGCTATTACACCAAATGGGTATTATGTCACTTATGATGGATGGGGAAACAAGGAAGAGGTAGCATTGTAGTTGCCATGAGATTCTTACATAAATAGATATATAGCATTCCAATTATGTGTTCTTTATATAAAGAAAATTGATAATTCCATGTTGGCTTTATTGGCAGAAATTGTGATTTTGGAAGTCTAGAATGCATGTGCACACACACAAACGGGAAAACATCAAACATGCATTACTTGCACATCCTTACATTATTGCAATAGTTTCCCTAACAACAACATGAAATTTGAAATACTTGACTGATTTGACATTTTAGTAGAGAGGGAGAGGGGTTTCAGGTAGAGATGCAATAGACTTTGCCAAGCTGAAATTTACTGTGCCTCTAAATTGGCTCATTTTACTGAAACTAAGCTTTGAGCATACTTTCTAATCATGCTTGCAATGTGCCTTTGACTTCAGCTCTGTAGCAGTGCTTCACTTGGTTGGAACTAATTTGCATTTAACAAAGGAATCAAGTCAAAAATTTATTCTAGAAAACAAGATCCCCAAATTAATTAGAAACAATGTAACAGTAGTCGAGATTTGAAAAAAAAAAGTAGTTTGCTTGCATATAGACTAGAAAATGATGTGGAGATGAAAAGGTAAAACTTAAAAGATGTAAAATTGGCTTGGGATCCGGAAGAGATTGGGGAAATGGAGGGAAAAGAATGAGTGAGAAGTATCCACTAAGAAGGACGAGTTGTGCAAGGTAAAAATACCACCAAAACTATGATGATGTGTTTAGGTAAAGATATTAGTATAGAAAGGGAGAATGATAAAAAGAGAACAGACTAGTAAGAAGTTGGATGTGCTATTGAGAAAAGGAAGGAAGAAAGCCAAAGCTTGGAAGTTGAGGCTTTTTAAATGGAGTTCGAATACGTGATCCAATAATATTGAAGTATTCATTACGATAAAAGCAATTTTTTTAAAAATAAAAATAAAAATTGTTGTTGAACATAGTGAGTTGAACTAACCTATTTATTGATTAAACAAGCTTTATTAGTTAAATGTACATCAAGTTTTTCTCCTCCCCTAATGCTTGGCCTTGCTGTAAGAAAGAAGGATGTTTTAGAAGAGAAGCTTGTGGTATTCAAATTTTAGGTTAGTCTATTTATACTAGTTACAAATTTTGAAATAAGGACTTGCAAATATACTCTAACAGAAAACACTCACAAATTGCACTTTCCAACTTGTAATTTAAAAGTGTATATTCCCCCCCCCCCCCCCAACCATTTGTGAATTGTCAAATTTCTTTTGAGGCATTTGATTAGAATAAAGAAATTGGTTGCACTTCTATGGAGGATCTTAAAAAACTTGGAACAGACTCCAGAACCATTAAAAGGACTTGCAACAGATAATGGCATGCATTGGATTAGATTTTTTTAAAAGAAAGTAATGATAACATGTTTATCAGTGCATGATTTTTCAACTGAGTAACTTTAAAATAATCCTGTAAAATCTTTTGAAAACAAAGAAAATGGGAGGCTTAAGTTACTTGAACTTTGATCCCATAACTAGATGATTTGTCAATTTACACTAATAATCCACAGAGCTACACGTAGGTAATTACATGGTGAAACAGGGAGCCTTTTTAGTGAAACTCTGGGCAGTTCATATAGGAGGCTGAAGGGATTCTGAAAAAGAGCAGCAGCAAACTTTTGATGCAACAATAAGTGAAAAGCCCTTTATGTCTGATTTGCTGTTGGGCTTTTGACCTTTTCATCTCAGATGATTTTTGTTTGTTTGTTTTCTTCTTAGCTTAGCAAATAAATGGTTTGGTTAATTTAACATTCAAATGGGTAAACATAATAATAAGCTTTTAGCAGTGTCTCCATGGTTCATTTGATCCAAGTTTTCTTCCCTGAATTTTTTTTGCGTCTAAGTTATGTGATGAAATTGGCATTTTTTGACCGCAACGGCACAACTTATGTTTTCTGCTATTTGTCAATACAATTATGTACCTTCTTTTACCATGTGCAACTTCAATCCCAGGTGGATCCTGCCAATGTAAGGGCGATCGAATTCAATGCTTTGCTGGAAGCTGAGAAGGTTGCTGAAGCTACAAAACAAGCTATCAAACGTAAGATTGCACAGGCTGCTTCTGTTGACTTCCAATCTCGGATTCTACCAGCAAAGCTTAAAATAGCTTCTGATGACCCTGAGGATGTGGTAAGATACTCTAAGCTGCTTCCATACGACTCTTAGATTTTGCAGAGGGGAATCTGAACTTCAGTCTATTTTCATGTTTAACAACTTTTGATGTTCCTATAAATGTCTTTTTACATGCAAGTTTATGTATAATGGTACTTGGTGATCCTGTATGGATTGATTTTAAACTAATGGGTTACATCCTAAAGAGGAGGTATATAGTTGACACTCTTGAAAGTTCTAGAGCTAGTAATGCATCTACTTGTGATTTCAAATGCTGCATTTTTCAATCAAACCCTATACCTACCACCTTTTATTGAAAATTTGGAAGAAGTTTATTTTCTACTGACTTGATGGTTTCTTGCCTGTGGTTCATAGAAAGCTGCCAAAAAGAAGAAGATACATGCTTTCAAGTCAAAGGTGCGATTTGAACAACTTGAAGTGGCACAAAATAAGCGGCAGAATGCATGGCAGCAGTTTCAGACGACCAAAGGCAAGACTAAAAAGGTCTGTATAGCAAGCATTTTATAGTATACCATCAAATCCTTCTTAAGGGAGGTTTTTGCCTGCCAAGGATGGCCCGTTTTCTTTTGTAATGTGTCCCTTTGGTAGTGTTTGAATACATCAGTTATTATCATATTGGTGAGAGTTTGATTTTCTTGGCGGTGTTAACTTTCCGGAAAATGGCATAAATGTATCAGATAATGTGTTGGTGAACATTATAGCTCTTTTAGGCTGCCCTTTACAAGTTTTTTCTTGTATGCTGATAACCAAGAACAAATTATTTAATAAGAATCGACTCTGATATATACTAATTCCATTGACAGGTTGGTTTCTTCTCGGGGCGTAAGCGTGAGAGTATATTCAAGTCACCGGATGATCCTCAGGGCAAGGTTGGTGTGACAGGAAGTGGGAAGGGGTTGACAGATTTCCAGAAAAGAGAAAAGCATTTGCATCTCAAGGGTGGTAATGTTGAGATAAGTGATGACTAGGCAGATAGAGTTAACCTTAAAAACTTGGAGTTTGAAAAAGTTCCCAATTAGGGACTGTCGTAGACATGAACTTCCCATCACTCTTGCCAGTGTTTGGTGCTTGCAACTTGTTAATTATACTAAATTTCTTTGCTTCCTTTTTCCTTAAGAGATCTCACAATAACTGTTACTGTAATTTTCTGTTTCTGCCTTGTGCGTTTGATTGTTTTCTTGATATCTTTGTTTAGAGGGAGAAAGAGAAAAGGTAGGGATGGTATATTTGTTTATTTGAAATACTAGAATCGTGGGTTCATGTAGCTGAAATTGGATTCCAAAACTATACTGTGCAGTGTGCAACCCGTTTCCTATCATTAATTTTGTACTAAAATAGAATCTTTTCATTAGTTTTGTACTAAAAAGAATATTGTCAGTATTACCAATAAAAGGTTGGGTTTTCTTATTACTAAAAAAAAGATTGGGTAAACAACGCTTTTGGTAATTGAAGTTTATTGTTTTATTTTATTTACCGTACTTTTAATTTTCTGAATTACTTATTGAATTTTATAGATTGAATTTTTTGTTTCTTGACCATTTTCTCTTTAACCGGTTGAAGAGATGGTTTATTTTAGGTTTAAGAGTCAAAGGTGCTTTTGCAGTAGATTAAATTTATCAATTTTGTCTTTATAATATTTTTGCATCAATTTTACCCTCATTGTTTAGTTGCATTATTTTATACTGTTTGACTGTATTAACAAATGAAACTGTTAATTTCTGTGCTGACGAGTTTACTTGATGATGTGGTAATTACAAAAAAAATAATTATATAATTTTAATTTGAAGTAACCAGATGACGTGGTAATAACGAAAAAAATAAATATATAATTTTAATTTGAAGTAAACTATGATATGAAATTCAACTAAAAATCCTTAATTTTTTTAATCCCTAAAAACGAAGAGAATAAACAAATTCTAAAAATAAACCTAAATCCAAAATCACAATTCAATACTATCTCATAATCAGATTACTACCCAAAAATCCACGATTGAATACATTCTGAAGATTAAATATATGCAAAAAATCGAAAACCAAGTGAGAAAAAGTAGATTATCGAAAAATTGAGAGAGAAAGTTTTAGGATTGAGTGAGCAAACAATAATTAGTAAGTTTTAAGATTTTAAGTAGTATTTCATTGTTTAGGGTTATTCGTTTCTTGATTTGATACAATTTTATATGTTCAAAATTTTTAATCGAACACCCACACATTTTTTTAATCTTATTTTGGTTATATACACTTTCACACAATTTTCTATGCCCGTGTGTTTTTTTCTTTCTTTTTCCTGTCATGATCCCATGCTTTGATCGAAAAATGAATTAGATTCCTGTCATGGTCCTCATGCTTTTTTATTTGAAAAATACAATCATTCTCTGATTTTATTTGTTTACTAATTTAATTTGAATGATTAAAACTTTATGCCATTATTAAATTGTTAACGAGTTTGTTAACATCATAGTTATTGTGTTACAAAATGGGTACTAAATCATAATTTTTTGTGTTACAGTATCATCATGGAGGTAAATTTGTAGGTTCATCTAAATTTTAGTATGTAGATGGAAAAGTTGAAAATTTTCAAGTTAACCCATATATATTTTGTTATTGGGATTTAATTGGGAATATGAAGGATTTAGGGTATGCCTTTGATTTATGGTTATACTATGTACTAGATAGCTGACCCTTATTCCCATATGTAATGAGGTAAGGGGGAGGTAGGATAGTAGACTGCCCCCAACACCAGGTTGAGAGGAACTTCCGTAGGAGACTTCCGAATTATGAAATACCCTCCGTGGGACTCGATCCCACGAACCCAAGGTTAAGAACCTTGTGCTCTACCAGCTGAGTCGGATGATCATTTATACTAGATGCTACATTCAATAGTAATGTATTGGTGATAGTGGTAGATGATGAATCAATTAGGCAATGTTTAGGGATTCTAAACACTAAGGGTGCTGTAGATTTTTATGTAGACCACACGAATAATTATGTGGTAGGTGAAGCTCTTAAAAAAAGTAAAGAGGTAGTTAAGGGTATTGTTTCTTCTAGCCAAAACAATATTGATATTGGTGGGGATAATACTAGAATTGAAGGTGTAAACACTGTGTACACTGATTTTGAAGAGGAAATTGCTTGAACTGAAGGTGTAAACACTGTGGATACTAATTTTGAAGAGGAAATTGTTGGAATTAAAACTGTAAACAATGTAGTCTGTAATGAAAATGTAAACACTATTGCAGTTGAAGATATACTCAATCATGATAATGCATACCTCTATGAAGTTGATATTGCTGAGAAAGAAGCATCAGAGGGGTCTCATAATTTTTTGTTGGATGCCGAAATAGCTTCTAATGTAGATGAAAAAGTTGAATCAATTAGGGAAACATTGAATGATAATGATACCATTAGTTCATCAACTGATAGTGATAATGACAATGAAGAAATTACTGATTTTTTAAGTTCATGATCATATAGCTCTTGAAAATGATACAGTAGAAACAGATAGACTGAAAGAGGATACTGATAAATTGATAGGTCATGAAAGTGATTACTTAGATTCAAATGATTAAGGAGAGTGTAATGATACAGATAATGATGATGACATAGTATACGGAGCATAAAAAAAATATTTGAGTAGGGAACATAAAGATGAGGATTGTAAATCTCTTTTGTGGGAAGTTGGACTTAGATTTACAAATCACACTTAGTTCAAGGAATCAGTGAGAAAATATGCTCTTGCGAAGTGTGTTTCTTTAAGGTTCATCAAAAGTTAACCAAAAAGAGTGAAGGTGGTGTGCAAGAAAGATTGTCCTTGGTTATTATTTGCAAGCTTTGATCGTAGGTTTGATTGTCTTATTGTGAAAATATACAATTCTGTTCATAAGTGTTTTAAGATAAATAAGAAAAAAATGATAAATTCTAAGTTTATTGAAATGAGATTTAGGGATAAAATTTAGGTGACCCAAAAATGAAAGTTGATACTTTGAGACAGATGTGCAAGCATGAGTTGGGTGCATATGCTAGCTATAATCAGTGTCAAAGTGTTAGAAAAGTGGTGTTTCAAAATAAAAGGGGTTCTTACATTGATGAATATGTTAATTTGTATGGGTATGCCGCTGAGTTGATTCAAAGCAATCCTAGAAGCACAATCTCAATTCAAGTTCATAAAGATAATGGAAACAAATCAACTTTTCATAGGATGTATATATGTTTTGTTGCTTTGAAGAAAGGTATATATTATTACATTGCATTGCATTTGATTCTATTTTTAAAATATCTAATAATTTATATTATTATATTTTTTAGGGTTGGAGAGAAGGGTACAGACCATTCATTGGAGTTGATGGATTTTGTCTGAAAACGGTGACTTAAGGTGAACTTTTTGTTGCAATTGGTAGGGATGCCAATAATCAAATGTATCCGGTAGCATGGGCAATTGTAGAAGATGAATGCAAGAAATCATGGAAATGGTTCCTTGCCAATCTAATGGAATACTTAAATCTTCCAAATGGTGAAGATTTGTCATTAATGTCAAACCAACAAAAGGTAAAGCAAGCAATTTATTTTGTTTAATAATTATTATTATAGTTGGATAAATATGTACTAATTATCATAATATTTGTATCACAGGGTCTGGTTCCAATATTGAATAAGTATTTTCCTCACATGTAGGGATGGTAAAAAACCCGAACTCGACGGGGAAAACCGAAAACCGAATTAAACGGGGATGGGGAAAAACCGTTTATGCTAAACGGGGACAGGGACGGATTTGGTAATCCCCGCCCCGATTACCCGGCCCGATACCCGTCCCGATAAATATTAAAAATAATTATATATATATATATATAATATTAATAAATTTAATTTAAATTAAAAAATATATATATAATATTTATATATTTAATTTAAATATATATATATATACCTGGCCTGATACCCATTTAAATAATCGTTTATGCTAAATGGGGATACCCGTTTCCCCGCGGTTTTCCTCGATTACTCGATGGGAATCCCCGCTTAAATCCCCGTGGTTTTTTAAGCGGGGACGGGTATGGGTTTTTTAAACGGGGACGGGGGGACCAATACCCGGCTCGAACCCAACCCATTGCCATCCCTACTCACATGGAACATAGGATGTGTGCTAGACACATTTATGCTAATTGGCATAAAAAATGGAAAGGAGTTAATATGAAGATCTAGTTTTGGAAATGTATAAGATTGATTTATGTTGAATATTTTGATGATCAATTGAAAAGCTTGAAGAAATGGGTAAGAAGTCTACTGATGATATTCTGGTTGTTCCTGCATATTATTGGAGTCATGCATGTTTCTCTGGAATGTCCAAATGTAATGCGGTCGACAATAACATGACAAAAGCCTTCAATGGATGGATTGTTGAGGCAAGGTGTTATCCTATTATCACCATGATTGAATAAATAAGAAAAATGGTTATGCAATGAATGCATGTTAAGAGAATTTGGAAATATAAGTAGCCAACGAATATTTCACCCATGGTTAAAAAGAAATTTGAAAGGCATATGAACAAATCCACTGAGTGTAGCATTGTTTGGAATGATGATGGAGGATTTGTGGTGACTCATGGTGCATATCAACACACAGTGGATTTGAGAAACCATACATGTACCTATAGGGAATAAGAGCTAAATGTAATTCCCTGTTGTTATTCTATCTATGCAATACATCATGAGTCAAAGGACCCTCACACCTACATTTATGAATGGTACAATAAGAAAAATATATAGCAAGCTACAGTCCAATCTTACAGCTAGTTAGGGGGAGAAAATTCTGGCCAAAAAGATTGAATGATCCAATTTAACACTTAATTTGAAACCTATGCCAAGAAGACCAAAAATAAGAAGAAAGAGTAAGGATGATCATGTTTTTAAGAGCAAATTTGGCAAGTGGAGTAGACTTATATTGCAAATGACATGTAACCTTTGTATGAAAATGGGCTATAGGAAGGTTAATTGTCCTAAAAAGGTCCATAACCAAACTGTTGGAAAAGTAAACAACATTTATTTATAATAAACAATTATTAACACCTTTAACATATTGTTGTTCACATTTAGGATACTACTGTCAATAAG